GGGTCAAAGATGACTTCAGGCTTTGCCTTCAAGGTCTTATCATCTGATACAGGAGAGAAGACACAGACACAAACAACTAAAATATAGAGAAAATGTGAAATTACTGTAAGATTAAAAACAACACTACAAGCCCGGCCAGGCGTGGCTCAGTGGCTGAGCGTCAACCTAGAATCCAGGAGATCGCGGTTTGATTCCTGGTCAGGGCACATGCTCGGGTTGCGGGCTCAATCCCCAGTGGGGGGGTGGGGTGCAGGAGGCAGCCCATCAATGACTCTCTCATCATTGATGTTTCTCTCTCTCTCTCTCTCTCTCTCTCTCGCTTCCTCTCTCTGAAATCAATAGTGTGTGTATATATATATATACACATATATATATATACACACACACACACACATATATGTATATGTGTGTATATATATATATATATATACATACACACACACATATATAAAAGCACCAAAAGAAATCCCACAACACTATGAAAGCACTACTTTAAACTGCAAGGTAGGCCAGGGTAGGACACAACAATCAGGAAAGGGAGTAAGACGGGAATGACGTGAGCTGGTTGAAGGATGGGCAAGATTCTAATTAGCAAAAAAAATGTGAGGAAAGCATTGCAGATGGAGGGAACAGCAAAAGCAAAGGCACAAAGGTGGGAAAGTACAGACTTTGTTCAGGAAACGGTTTAGTTGGGTATTGGGGAAACAAGTTATGCAGGAAAGACCTCAAAAGGAGGTTAGGATTAGATCAAGGAGGGCCCAGCTAAAACGTTTGGTCTTTTTTTCTGTAAGCAGTGAAGAGCTATTTAAGGTTTCTCGGTAAAAGAATGGCATGATCAGTGCTGGGCTATCCTTTCCTTTGTGGATAGAATCATATCAATAAATTGGCATCTATATGGTTTGTGGCACTGACCTGGCTGTACGTTCCCTGGTAGAAGACAGGGTGTGCCCTCCCATATTTTTCTTCAAAAGAGTGCATAAATGAAACAATGTCCCCAACGGGGTCAGTGACCCGGCTGCGAGGGTCAGGCCGTATAAAACGAAGAGCAAACCTGGGGAGGAAGGAATAAATATCACATGAATCGGCTTACTGTAGTGCATGTGGGTGGGCCAGTTTGTAAAGATTCCTGTACCAGAGGCACGTCAGCAAATGGAGGTGAACGGTCTGAGAATGGACCTCAAACCTGAGAGGAGAGCCTGGCTCAAAAGCTGCAAAGCAGCAAATGTTGTTCCATTGCCTATTCAAGAAAAATGCGAACTATAGGGATTATAAATTTCAATATTGGTCTAAACAAATCCTGAGTGCCTTTTGCAGAAAAATTTAGAGCTAGAAGAACTGGGAAAGAAGACACAGTATCCAAAAGATCATGGGTCCAGCTGTGCCCCCCAACTCTCTAGAATGGCACCATCTATATGGAAGCCACGAGCAACACGACTATCAAAATTTAAACTAATTAAATAAAATACAATAAAAAATTCAGTTCCCCAGTCACTCTAGTCACATTAAATGCCCAATAGCCACATGTGATCAGTGACTTCCACAGTGGACTTATAGAATGTTTCCATCATCACAGAAAGTTCTACTGGACAGTGCTGGTCTAGAACAGAGCTCTCTCTCTTTTTGGTTTTCCTACCTGCCTCTCCCTCGCCTTTCTCCTGGAATTTTGAATTTTTAGTGCATACTCCCAAGCTATTTGAGTTATGGACAGGAACTTGAAACCCAAACTTGCAGTCATGATTTACTTGCTCTTCAAAGGGCAAATAAATTCTGCTTGATGATTTATGGTTGATGGCATCATTGGAGGAACTATTCAATTGATCTAGCGTGCACTGGCAGATTTGGAGACCTGACAGCTATTGTTTAAGATTAAGAATGTTTCTAAACATCTGTTTCCAAAGAGCCCATCTTATCGTTTTGCATAGCACCATTTATTTATTCTTTGGATTTCCAAAGAAGGCAATGGGGGCAAAGGCTTGATAAGTCAGTGTGCTACATAACATTAAACAAGTTGCTTGGGTGATATAGCTTTCTTAAAATTAGTAACACACGCCGTGCATATTTTTCCATGGAAAACAAACAATATTCACATATATGAGGAATTTTCAGCACAGAAAAAGTGGCTAAACTATGACACTTTCCTTACCAAATCTTGAGCCAATTTCAATTCCTTAACCCCTCAAGTTCCCTGTGTGTATACAATTTCACTTGGAATTTTTCCTGAGTAATCAAATCAAATTGATTGACACAAACATTCCAGAGCAAATTAAAAACAAATGTTAAGAAGCTGTGTAGGGTCAAATAAATGGTGATGGAAGGAGACTAAACTTTGGGTAGTGAGCACACAATGCACATACAGATGATATATTATAGAATCGTACACTTGAAATTTATATAGTCTTATTAACCAATGTCATCCAATAAATTTAATTAAGAAGCTGTGTATGTGGACAGAAATCCTTTAGAAGATTGATGTTTGATAACTTTCTCTGAAATTAATTTTAGGATTATCTTATTAGTCTTTAAGTTTCATTTTGATGAATGAATGGAGGAAGAATTTAACTTTTGTTTCTCACTGCAATATATTCCCATGGTCTACATACTTTAGGACAATTAGTTTTTTTTAAAAAAAGTAGAGACATCACCCTAGCCAGTTTGGCTCAGTGGTTAGAGCGCTGGCCCGCAGACTGAAGGGTCCCAGGTTCGATTCCAGCCAAGGGCACATACCTCAGTTGGAAGCTTGATCCCTCGCCCTGGTTGGGGCGCACGTGGGAGGCAACCATACCATGTGTCTCTCTCATATCAATGTTTCTCTCTCTTTCTCTCTGTCTCTCTCTCTCTCTCCCTCCCTTCCTCTCTCTGAAAAGCAATGGAAAAAATATCTTCGGATGAGGATTATTAAAAAAATTTAAAAATAGAGACCTCAACTCAGTCTTCATTATGATTTTAAAGGTTTTTATGTCCCCATTCTTAAACAAAACAGGGATGGGAAGAGTACTAATTGGTTAAGCTGACCTATAAGAATTTTGCTAAAAGCAAGGAAGCCATTAAGCAAGCAGTCCCCTAGAACACTAAATGGCCCTGGCCAGCGTGGCTCAATAGTTAGAGCATCAGCCCGTGCACAGAAGGGTCACACATTCGATTCCCAGTCAAGGCCACGTACCTGGGTTGCAAGTTGGATCCCTGGCCCTGTCAGGCCACATGAGGGAGGAGGGAGGCAACCAATTGATGTGTCTCTTTCTCTTTCACTCCCGCTCCTCCTTCCCATCCACTCTCAAAAAAATCAATGGGAAAAATATCCTCAGGTGAGGATTAACAACAAAAACAAATAAACAAAAAACCACTAAATGGCCAAGGTAAAAGGTGTCATCTGATCCTTGCACTTCTGTAGCTGCTGGGTCCTCACCTCAGGCAAGGCAAAGGCTATCCCACATTTGAGGGAGGTAAAGGTTGCCCTGTATGCAGGGCCCAGACCACAGATTATACCACCTCTATCTGTTGGCCTGCCCATAAACATTTTAGTTCGCCATAAAGCTAGGTGTGGGTTCATCTACTACTCAGCTCTAAGCCAGACACCCAAGCCTGATATGCCAGCCATTTGGACCCCCTGAACATTTTCTAGCCCCGGCCACTCTGTAGCTTCCAGTGCTGGGCTCTTTAAATGGTACATGAAAAAAGCGAGAAGAAAGATTAAGGTGTGAAGCAAAGGGGTATACACACTTTGGAAACGCTCCAGTATCAGCAACCTATGGGTTGCCTGGACAGAGGGAATTGTATAGGAGTGTCTAAAGAGGTGAAACTTGTGAGGGAGTCTAGGGAAAAGGGAATAATCTCAGCAGGAAAATTTGTTGGGATTATCAGTAGTCAAATGGAGTTATAGATAGTTTAGGATAAAAGTTACAAGGGGTATGAAGCTACTAGATACAGTGGTTAGAAAGGAAAGGGTATGAGGATTAACTAGGGAATGTTGAGGTGACAAATGTGGCGGGAGGAGGGAGGATAACAATAAATGTAGATAAACTGATTCTTGAAAACGATACACAGGCTAGTTTAAAACAATTTCATCTCACATCTGTTATGTTTAAATAACTTAAAATATTTTCATACTATAACAAACTGGCAAGTCAAAATTGACAGAGCAGAAATCTTATTCTGGTCTATGTTTCAGCTCCAAAGCCTACCCTGTTGCTATAACACATAAATACAAACGTACGTACCTAAATATATCAAGTATTGTGTAATAGGTAAACCGGAATGGAAGCATTATCAAGTAATAACCCCATCCGAGCAGCCCCTGAAAGTCCAAAAACAAAGTTAGATACCATTCACTAATACCTTACAAAATGGCTAGTTCAATTTTTCACTGTATGTCCTTCATGTGATTCTTCCTCTGCAATATGGTTCCCCCTCCCGGCCACCTCATCCTTCCTAAAGACCAACTGCCTTTGATCTCATTTCATTTAATACTATCATATTTTTTCTTTTATCACACAATTTTTGTATTAAATCTGCTTCAACACTTTTTCTGCAGCTACTTATATTAGTTGTCAAACTCAATTGCAAGTTTTCTTCCCCAAATCATAATTATTCATTCTTTCCTTTTTTCAAATTTACACATTAAAATATGGCATACAGAAGCAGCGAGAAAGATAACCACTATTACTACCTTTTGTATACAATTGCATATAATTGTATACAACTGACGATTATATTTACTACAATTATAAATCTCCATATAGCTGCTAATCTTAGTAATAACGCTAATTATTATTTTAACAATGTTGATTATTGCTGCTGTTATTAACCAGCATATATACAGAGAGCTCTATAGTTTACAAAGCATTTCTTTTTTTTCTTCTTTTTTAAAATATATCTTTATTGACTTCAGAGAGAGGCAGGGAGAGGGAGAGATAGAAACATCAATGATGAGAGAGGAGTCATTGACCAGGTGCCTCTTGCATGCACCAACTGGGGATGGAGCACACAATCCAGGCGTGTGCCCTGACCGAGAATCGAACCGCAATCTCCTGGATCCTAAGCTGATGCTCAACCGCTGAGCCACACCTGGCCATGCTACAAAGCATTTCTTATATATCGTATTACATTAACCTGAGACCCTCCCTGTGTCCATAGCTGGGGAGCTCTGGAGCCTCATGGTTGACAGAAGGGTTCCAAACACTGAGACAAGCCAAAAACAAACTACGGAAACATTGGGATATACAATTGCTATAGCAATCTGCTCTTCTAGTTAAAAATACTCCATAACAACTATTTAGAAACTCCATTTTAAAACACAGGTACTCCACAAAAAGGCATAATGGGGGAGGAAATTCTAACTGCTACAAAGGTAAAGGGAGCACTTTCTTGGAATTCTAAATCCAAGTACAAGAGGTGAGTGTAACTCCAAGAATTAAGAGAAACTCCAAAAAATTCTTTGGAGTTCATTATCAGTACCATATACACATCGGACCTCCCTAATTAGACTGTGAGCAAAGTGAAGGGGGAGGACTAGCTCTTCATTCATCTCTGGATTCTTAGCAGTCAAATACCAGGTACACTGGAGCGCTCTTAAAGGCTGCTGAATTTAACTGCATCATTCCTTCCTACTAGCCCTTGAAGTCTAATTTCAAAGATATGGCTAAGGCTCTCAACAAAGATTCCAAGTATTTCTCTAGAACTAGCTTAAAATTAAGTAAAATAAAGCAACAAAGAACTCAGTAAACATTCTAACTTAAAAGTGGAAGGTCTAGTTCTGGGCAGTGGCTCTGTTGTTTGGAGAGTTGTCCCATATTCTCAAAAGGTTTCGTGTACGATGTCCAGTCAGGGTGCAAACGTGAGGCAACCGATCCATGTTTCTCTTTCTTCCCGCCCCCCGTTCCTCTCTCTCTCAAATCAGTGAAAAAATATCCTTGGGTGAAGATTTTTTTTAAAAAGTGGAAAGTCTAGTAAACATGTAGCAAACATTTTTAAACTTGTAAATACAACTACTATGTACTCAAAACAAGGTGCAGAAAACGCTTCAAATAACTGGCAAAGAACCTGCCCCCACAAAAATAATGGGTAGTTACTATATCAATTCACTGAAGAATCAAGGAAGTGGGAGGGGCCCGGCCGGGCATGGCTCAGCGGTTGAGCATCGACTTAGGATCCAGGAGATCTCGGTTTGATTCCCGGTCAGGGCACATGACCAGGTTTCGGGCTCGATCCCCAGT